CACTATGTTTTGCAAAAATATATAAGAAGCAAGGTAACATCAACTGTAACCTGAATTACGAAGATAAACACCCAACCTTCTCCGAACCTACTTCAGGGATCACTGCAGCGCAGCCATCGTTAGATGCCTGAAATTACGAGTGAGCTTAAACAAACATCAGTAAATTCGATGAAAATAATGCCCAATTTTTCAAAGTGGAATCAACTGACTTTTACTTATTTCATAATGAGCTGTTTGGATTTTAATTTCCCACATTTTACTCATTGCCCTCCGAAACCCGCGTGATACTGGCACATGACGACGAGCAGTGTGCTGCATGGGTGCTTTTTAGAGGTCGAATCCCTTAGAAAGAGGAGGCGATTGTTGTTTAACTGGCCCGTGGCTGTCGTCGCTGAAACATGCCGGCCTGCTAGTTTAAATGTTTGTTACTACGACGGCTACATGGTGATCGACATCGTTTAGCGTTATCATCATACGTCTCATGGTAACAACAAAGATCGCTAGATTTCAGTTTGGTTGGTGATTGAGCACGCGTCGGCGGAATTTTTGATGGTGACCTAGTACGCCTAATGCTGGCACGAGGATCCGCCGGCTCACGTCTCAGCTGGGCTGTCTCGGCATTTGGGTTCACAGCATTGCTATTTCGGTGTTCTTTGTGGTTTACGAACTAACCACTACAGGTGATGGCGTCTTGCCACAAAAACGTCCATGTATTGCGTCGGCAGAAGCCGCCAGATCACTTAACGGACGTGCGGGTAACACGGACAATAGCCCTTGTGTATACTCAGGCAAGTGCTGCATCCACATCTCTTGTAAGAGAGACTCTGGCAACTGCGACTTGCTCACTGCCTGTTGCATTTCTCGAAGGAGAACCGATGGCTTCTTGTCCCCCAATTGTAACCGTTGGGACAGTTGCTCTAAACGCATTTTGTTGGACTGCTGTGTTTCTTCAATAATTGTTTGTTTAGCTGCCTCGTAGCAATCATGTGATGGTTCCAGAAATACAGAAATGAAATAGTTGAATTAGCTCAACCCCAGAGCTAACTTCGACGCAATAGTAATAACGACCAAACTAGGCAAAGCAAGTAATTTATCCTTCGAGCGCAATTGTACAACTTGTAGTCAGCCATGTATTAAAACAACGGTCATGAGAAATAGGTTTAGTGACAATCACCACATCCACCACAGTTTAAATGAGAGTCAGGATTGTTATAGTTTCTGCGTTGTTTATTTTTGAGACGTTCAGAGAGTCGCCACTGCGGTGGTTCGTTCTCAATAGCATCTTCAACCGGAGAACCTGAACCTGGAATAGACTCAGAAACATCAGCATTAGTAACAGGCACTACAGAGGTAGAAACAAGTAAGTTATACACGAGTTGATCGACATGTCTACGATGGACAGACCCATAATCTAAATCGAGTATGTGACACATTCGACTACTCAGGTTATTGAGGACAATTCCTCGAGATGATCGGAGGTCATTGCCACGATGGTATACAACTTCAGCCGATTCCAAATTAAGCATGTTGGTTCGAAGGACACGGTTGTTAAACAACTAAGCTGGACTGCTTCCAGTTGTTGAATGGTCAGAATTTCGGTACTGCATCAAGAAGTTATTCACACCATTCTCCAGTTCCTCAAAACTAGACGGGTTGATAGACTTGATCGCACTTTTCAGAATACGAACAAAATTCTCTGCGGAATCGTTAGACTGGGGATGTCTTGGCGCAGTCAGCAGATGTCGACATCCTACTTTCTTCAGCCAGTCTTCAAACTTTTGCGCAGTGAAATGGGTGCCATTGTCAGTGACCAACGCACATGGTACTCCTTCCCGACTGAAAGGTTTCCTCAATGCAGTCTGAGTGAAGTCTGCAGTTGCTGACGACGTGAAATAAACTTCCGGCCAACGTGAATATGAATCAAGGATAATCAAAGCATAGCATTTATCCAGGAATGGACCACAATAATCCGCTTGTATTCGTTGCCAGGCTTTACAAGTCATTGGCCAAGGTGTCCATTTTAATGGTTGCGACTGCGCTTTGTGTACACTCTGAGTACAACCTTTAGAAATGTTACATAAGTCAGCGTTCAATTCTGGCCACCAACAAATCAGGCGAGCCAAAGACTTCATCTTCTCAATTCCCAAATGACCGGAGTGTAAGTCATCTAGTACTGCGGATCGTAATATGGGAGGAATAACAATTGTATCACCAAGACACAATAATCCATCGGCAGTAACACGAAGCTCATCTCGACGTTTGTAGAATTCAGAAAATCTTCGCCGAACACTGCAATTCCAATGCGTGCATAATGAAGTAAAAATTGCATGGTAGTACTTTCGTGTGTCACGAAACAATCCGAATCACCATCTTTTCCAGAGTCAGCATATCGAGATAAATAGTCAGCATGGGGAATGGATTTTGCACTACAATGCTGGATGTTATAAGAATACGCAGCCAAAGCAAAACTCCATCGCTAAACCATTGTCGCAGAAGACTTGGCAAGGGATTTGTTAGGATTATAAGTGGATTTCAGAGCTTGCTGATAAGTGACTATAATGAAGTGAGCACCGAACGAGTATTTGTGAGGTCTGGTGATCGCCCAGTAAACCGCTAATGCTTCCACTTGTGTCTGTGGATACCCACGCTCTGTTAGACAGAAACGTCTGGAAATGCAAATAACAGAATGGCCCTCTTGTTCTGACACAGCTCCAATACCCGTTGGTGATGCATCAATTATCAAGGTTTATGGTAATTTTGGAGGAAACATGCGTAATACTGCATCGGAAGAGGGAAACTTCAATAAAACTCGGAGAGTTCGTTCACGTAAATCAGTCCAAACAAAATTATTTTGAGGAAGATCAAACAAAGATTTTGCTTTATCAGCGAAACCAGGAATGAATCGAGAGTAATACCGAAGAGAACCCATCAGTAACGAAACTCATCAAAAGATTTTGGAGGGGATGCCCTATACAGAAGCGAAAAACGATCAGGATCAGGACGATAACCATTCTCATCAACAAGAAACCCTAAACATGAGAACTTGGATGTACCAAAAATACACTTGGAAGAATTAATAGCAACGTTTAAAGAGCAAAAACGTTCGAGTAAAGCGTGCAATCTTTCATCATGAATAGACGTGGTTGGCGCATGCACAATAATATCATCCTGGTAAATGGAAACACCCTCTAAGTTGGCAGTAATGGTGTTCATAACATTTTGAAATATGGCAGGTGATGCATTCAGACCGAAAGATAGAAAATTATACCTAAACAATCCGAAAGGAGTATTGATGGTTGTCAGAGCACTGGAAGCTTCATCAAGAGGCATCTTTAAAAAAGCGTCCTTTAAATCGAGTTTGGAAAAATATTTTGAGATGTAAAATTGATGCAGAATGTCCTCTGGTTCAACAATGGCACAACTCCTCTGCAAAAGGAACCTGTTGAGCGTAAGTC